TGATGTCCTTCACCTTCTTGGTTAGGCTTATTCCAAGATATATTATTGTCTTTGATGCTAACGAATGGGAGTGTTTTCACGATCTCTTGCTCAGTGTGTTTGTTATTACGTATTTGTTGTTTAAGGTTGCTTTCATTCTGTTGGCTTTTTGTCAGCAATGGTTACCACAATACTCTCTCTCTCTCCCCCCCTCTCCCTCCCTCACTCTCTCTCTCCCCCCTCTCTCTCCCTCTCTCACTCTCTCTCTCCCCCCTTCTCTCTCCCTCCCTCACTCTCTCTCTCTCTCTCCCTCACTCTCTCTCTCCCTCTCTCCCCCTCTCTCTCTCTCTCTCCCCCTCTCTCCCTCCCTCATTCTCTCTCTCTCCCCCCTCTCTCTCCCTCTCTCACTCTCTCTCTCTCTTCCCCCCTCTCTCTCTCCCTCCCTCACTCTCTCTCTCCCTCCCTCACTCTCTCTCTCTCTCTCTCTCTCTCTCTCTGTGTCTCCCTCTCTCTCTCCTGAGTCAGGGGTATGGAAGACTACAAAGTTTGAGATAAGAGCTATGCTTTTTTTTTTTTCAAGACAGGGTCTCTTTGTATAACAGCCCTGGCTCCCCCCGGTAGACCAGGCTGGCCTTAAATTCACAGTGCTGAGATTAAAGCCTAAACCACCACCCAAATTCCCAAATATTGTGTAAATGTTTGTTTTCATTTAATTGGACTTTGTTATATAAAATTAAATAAAAATTCTTTCCAAACTACTTCCTGCTGGTAAGGGGCGCTGTCTTGGGGGATTCGAAGAAGATTCAGATATCCTGGCTGTAGTCTGTAGGGCTGTTTTGTCCAGCTGTTTTGAATGAATCCAGAGTACAAGGATCACCTTGTACTCTGTTTCAGGCGGTCTGGCGTGATCAAACCACATTAGTCTGGAAGGAATCCACATCTTTTCATTTTCTGTGGAAACAAAAATAGAAATCCTTTTCCCCAGTAACTTGTTCTTCAACTTAAATTTTGGAGCCAAAGCGTTTTTTTTTTTTTTTTATTTATTATTTTACATGTCGATCCCAGTTCCCTCTCCCTCCCTCCCTCCCTCCCCTCCAGCCCTCCCTCCCTCCTTCCCTCCCTTTTACCCTCTCTGCCCTCTCACATGCACTCTAAACACCCTCCCCTCCCATCCCCCCCACCCCAATTCCATATGTAGGGGAATGCCATCCAGTTGGGGTCATGTAGATCTGACAGGTCCTGTGAAGTAGGGACTAGGGCTTCTCTCCTATCTCTAGAATAAGGCAGTTATCCCTCCATGGGGGATATGTTTGCAAAGTCCTTTTGTAGAGCAGTGTTTTGATACTTGAATTTTCCATCCACCTTAAAGACTAAAAAAAAAAAAAAAAAACCAAACAAACAAATAAAAAAAACCTTTGTCTGAGAATAGGGAAGCACATAAGCCCAATCCCTATATACAGACTTTTTGACAGTTAATGCTGCTGGGTTAAGGAGCTAGTTTCCTTTGGTTGATCTGCTTTGGTGGATGGCCCATGCAATTACGGGCCTCATTAACTGGATTTAATGAGCTGTTTTAAAAAAAAAGGAACATGACATTTTCATGAGGATGTAGAAGTGTCTGGGAGGAGTTGGAAGAGGTTTAGAAGTGAATATGATCAAAATGCATAAACTAAAATTATATTAAAAATATAAAACACTTTAAAATAAGACCCACTATGTATTGCTAGATGTACTTATTTAATCAAATGAATTAAGAAATTTTAGTCATGAAAAAGCACACGACCGTCGCAGTGGTCTCCTCTTTCTCTGGCCCGAGCATCTTGTTCCTACAGAGTTGCCAAAATGTCACTTTCTAACAAGCTGACTTTGGACAAGCTGGATGTGAACGGGAAGCGGGTTGTGATGAGAGTGGACTTCAATGTTCCTATGAACAACAACCAGATAACAAATAACCAAAGGATCAAGGCTGCTGTCCCAAGCATCAAATTCTGCTTGCACAATGGAGCCAAGTCGGTGGTCCTTATGAGCCGCCTGGGCAGTCCTGATGGTGTTCCCATGTCTGAGAAGTACTCCTTAGAGCCAGTTACTGCAGAACTCAAATCACTGCTAGGCAAGGATGTTCTGTTCTTGAAGGACTGTGTGGGCCCAGAAGTAGAGAATGCCTGTGCCAACCCGGCAGTTGGCACTGTCATCCTGCTGGAGAACCTCCGCTTTCATGTAGAGGAAGAAGGGAAGGGAAAAGATGCTTCTGGGAATAAGATTAAAGCTGAGCTGGCCAAAATTGATGCTTTCCGAGCCTCACTGTTCAAACTTGGGGATGTCTATGTCAATGATGCTTTTGGGACTGCATACTGAGCCCACAGCTCCATGGTGGGTGTGAATCTGCCACAGAAGGCTGGTGGATTTTTGATGAAGAAGGAGATGAACTACTTTGCCAAAGCTTTGGAGAGTCCTGAATGACCCTTCCTGGCTATCTTGGGAGGAGCTAAAGTTGCAGACAAGATCCAGCTGATCAACAACATGCTGGACAAAGTCTATGAGATGATCATTGGTGGTGGAATGGCTTTTTACCTTCCTTAAGGTGCTCAACAACATGGAGATTGGCACTTCTCTGTATGATGAAGAAGGGGCCAAGATTGTCAAAGATCTCATGGCCAAAGCTGAGAAAAATGGTGTGAAGATTACTTTACCTGTTGACTTTGTCACTGCTGACAAATTTGCTGAGAATGCCAAGACTGGCCAAGCTACTGTGGCCTCTGGTATACCTGCTGGCTGGATGGGCTTGGACTGTGGTACTGAGAGCAGCAAGAAATATGCTGAGGCTGTGGCTTGCGCTGAGCAGATTGTTTGGAATGGACCTGTTGGGGTTTTTGAATGGGAAGCTTTTGCCAGGGGAACCAAGCCCCTCAAGGATGAGGTGGTAAAAGCCACTTCTAGGGGTTGCATCACTATCATAGTGGTGGAGATACTGCCACTTGCTGTGCCAAATAGAATACAGAGGGTAAAGTCAGTCATGTCAGGACTGGGGTGGCGCCAGTCTGGAGCTGCTGGAAGGTAAAGTCCTTTCTGGGGTGGATGCTCTCAGCAATGTTTAGTATTTCCTGCCTTTTGGTTCCTGTGCACAGTCCCTAAGTCAACTTAGTATGTTTTCCGCATCTCCATTTGGTGTTAGCACAAGATTCAGCTAGGGATGGAGATGCAGCACCAGGAACCCTTAAACAGTTGCACAGCATCTCAGCTCATCTAGACTGCATCAGGATTTGTTTATATTCTTCAAGATCCCATTTTAATCCCTTAGTGGCTAAGTGCATTCTAAAGTGCATCTATTTATATTCTGCCTGTAAAAGAAAGTGAGCTATAAAAGCTTAGTTCTCTTTGACTAGCTTCTGGTTAGCTTGGTCACTGTTTATGATGCAGCATGGAAATAAGATGAAATTCCAGCTGTAGGTTTGGAGAAGTTGATGCTCTATTAATAAAGAGAAATTTTAGTCATTACCAAAACCTATACATGAATTTTGATAGCAGTTTTAGTCACAAATGCCGAACTTGGAAGAGGCTATTCCTTTGTCTAAAAAATACTTTAACTATAAACCCATTGTATCTGTTATAGCACATTATTTATTAATTTATCCACTGGTAAATTAAATTAAGGTTAGTTGTGGTTTTATTTTCCATACTTGATGTAGCAATGACATTTTTTTCACACATGCACAAGAGGACATGTATAATTTCTAGGGCATGTACTAAAAATCAGAATTTCTATACTGTGGGGTGTGTGGACTCTCAACTATTTTACTCCTTGTCAAACTAATTGGCAAAGAAATGATTCCAATTTGCACTTATATTAGCAGAGGATAATTTCTTCTCTTTTTATTTGTTAAGAACTAGTGGTCGGAGAAGCTAGAAGCTGGAACCCAAATCATTCTGTAGACTTAGGTCAAGAACCTGTGCTCACTGCTGTGAGACATAATGAGTCTGACTCTCAGGTTAAATGATTTAAGGGTAGACTGGAAGCATCTTGGGTCTTTATTGAAGACATAATACTGGCAGTATTTGGATCAGCTTCACAGGGCTCTGCCTAGATTTCTGATCTGAGAGCATTCTAAAATCCTCTTTCATAGTTGTGCTTGACTTTTATCTATTATTAGACCCATAGAATGATTCTAGATTGTGTCATCATTGTTCTGTTGATGGCACAATACATTTGAACAAAGGGTTACATAAAAAATAAAAGGAAAAATACACTGTGCAAGACCATCTTTTCTATAGCATTGACCAATGAAAGGCTATTTCTTTGGAAATCTGTGTTGCAGTCAGGGCATGCCAATACAAAAGAGAAACCTGAGGAAGAAAGAGATGAGGGAATCTTGAAGACTTCAGTGACTCAATCTAGAAGTGATATGTACCAATTCCTTTCTTAGTCACCTAGCTATAACTAAAACCGTAGTTCCCTCCCACCTGCATGAGAGGCTGAGGTGTGTGGAAGAACACACAAGTGTTAGATGAGTGTTAATGTTCTCTCTCAGACATTTGATCCTTGATACTTCTAAATCACGCATGTTGAAAAAATTCATAGGCAAGTCCATATCATTTCAAATTCTAAACAATCGGGTCAAGAGTTCATTTATAATTAAAGTGCAAGTGGTTGATGAAGTGAACACTGTCTTTTTAAGAAACCACTTTGAGCTTTGTGTTAAAAACCAAGAATTTTTTTGTGTAATAGTTGTGAGGTCCAGGAAAGTCATTTAACTCTTATAAACTTGTACCTCAATTGAAATGGAATATTGATGCCCTATTCATAGATATGTTGTGAAAGTTGGACTAGAGATGGCATTTAAAACATCTCCCACAATGTGCACTATCAAGTGTCAAAGTGAATTCTAATGTTGTTGGCATATTTGATACTATAATATGATCTACTATGTGCTAATAACCATCAGAAGCTGTTTGGGGATGAGAAATGATCTGGTGATATTCCGGAAATGAAATATCTATCATTTTTTATATTCTTTTCTTTGTAGGTCTTGGGAGATTTCCCAGGTCATATTCTTCCTGGAGTACTTTTCTTTATTGTAGCTCTTTGGTGGAGTATAAAGATTATTCTCAAGCATGTTTGTAAACAGCAAAAGAGGGCTTCCTTCCTTTTTACCAAAGAATTCTTCTATCGAGCAGAAATTTTGGAGGGAATTGTGTTAGTTGGCATGGCACTAGTAGGTGAGTTGGCTTACTATATTGTATTTTTCTCAATTTGGTGTTTTTATATGCATAGAAAATTCTTTCACAAAATCAAGGCATTCCAGAGCTAAATATCTTACTCAAAAATGTTTTTAATCACAATTTCCATATGGTATAATTTGTTAGCAATGTGGTATATCAGGTTTATATGATCTTTGGATAGCCAATAGATAAAGGGTAGCCTCTATAGGACAGTCTCATAAACCTTGAACATTAGGTTGGAATAGAAACTTGAACCAAAATCATCAACATTAGCTATGGCTACAATTGGTTATCTCAACTAGCATTTTCCTCAAAGAAAGTCTAAATTGTCACTACATAGCTGATAGGAAACTTCCCAGAGAGGAAGTCATATTATAAGAGTAGGTCAAGATCATGATGGAGAAATCTACAGAGACAGCTGAACCAAGCTGGTGGGAATTCATGAACCCTAGACAGCCATGGAGCCTCTATGGAATAGAACTAGGCTCTCCATATGTGGGAGACGGTTGTGAAGTTTGGTCTATCTGACTATCCCTGGCAGTAGAACAAGGTTCTATCCCTGGTGCATGAGCTAGCTTGTTGGAGTCCATTCCCTTACACTTTGAGAGGAGTGCATGGAGGATAGGCTGGGTGGGGGAGGTGAGAGGGGACAGGAGGAGGGGTGGGAGGGAGAACTGTGGTTGGAATGTAAAATAAAATTTAAAAAAATGAATTAAAAAAAGGACCCAGTAGGTTGGAATAAGCAATGGTCATATCTTTTTGCATGTTTGTGCTAGACAAAATCACGTAGAGTATTGCTAAAAGTGTTATATAAAAGTGTTATATGTTTTCTGCAGGAATAATTGGTCTATACCTTGTGCTTGGAAAGCGAAACAAACTCCCAGATAAAGAATCCCAGCTGGCCCTAGTCCTGCATTGGCATCATCTTGCCATATATATATTCTTTGCAATGCTAGGTGGGACCAAGATCTTATGTTTCACCATTAGTTCACTTCCAGTCTCTTTGGTCAAGTTAATGTTATCAAATGCCTTCTTTGTGGACGGTAAGTATGGGGAAGTATCTGTACTTCTAATAGTAAGTATTTGGGTAGCCCTGTATAATAAAATGCCTTTGCTTTCATAGTGCAGTACAGATTGACAAGGTCCAGTGTCTGGGCTATACTGAGATACTGTCTATTCTCTGTAGGATGACAAGGGTCTTTCTTCTCTACTGACTTATTCTGCAAGGTTGGGCAGATACAACCTAATGTTATTTACTCATGTTTCATATCTGTCCTGAAGAGTCACCTTCTTTATTTGTTTTCTTAGCAATTATCTTCTTTATACTTTTAACAAGGAAAAATTAAACCCAGAGAGCAATGGAAGCATGAACCCTAAACTGGGATAGCTAGCTGTTAGCAGCAGAATAGGTTCTGCCACCTGCCAACTAGCTTTTAAATTGCTGATACAGTAAAACTTTGCCAGTGTGTGTGGAGTTGAGTCTGCAAATTTCAACCACATTAGAAGCAGAAGTCCTAATTTTGAGAAATTAATGAAACTAAATCATATGTTTTATTCATTTGTTTTCCACAAGATTACTGAGGTGGGTGAGGAAAAGTTTCTTTAATGGTTTTTCTTCAATCATGCACATGACAAAGTATACTATGTACCTCCGAAAGCTACCAGTGGTTAGGAGACAACTCTTCCTTTACTCCCCTGTGAAGAAAGTAGTTCTTACCCCTTGTTTATTGCAGTCAAGAGCCAGAAGGAAAAAAAAAAAAAGAATTGCAACAACTAATGCCTGTCATATCTTTTAATAAACATCCTTATCTTTTAGCTTAATGAAAACCACTAAGGTGAAATTGGAATATGTTTATGCAATGAACCCTCATGGCTAGATGCTACTTGATGATAACCCTGCCACACCTCTCAAGGTGTGAATTATGGGTGTATTTACTTTTTTCAGGACACGAAAACCCTTAAGGCAAGGCTTTGGCTTCAGCTTATCAACAGCATAGTCATGTGCATTGAAGCTCCCTGCCCTGCACATGTTAGAGGAGAAAATAAAGGTTGGAGAAGCAAAAGGAGGGTTAACTTTCAATGATCCCATTCTAAGTAGGCGCTGATAGCTGAAAGGGCGCAGAGCTGGCTGCACTGCTGTGAACCCAGTGAGGATCTCATCTTTTGATCAGTTGCGTAGGTCTATAAGATTCTGTGGCTACAGGACGAAAGAAGGTGGGAGAGAGAAGTGCTGAGATGGCTGTCTTTGGTTTTAATTAAAAAACAATCTTTTTCTACCCTGTTAGCTTTCATTTTCCACAATCACACATATGACCGGACATTGGTGGACACTTTCGGGCACCAACTGTTGAGCTTCGCTATATTTTTGGCTGGTCTGGTTGCCTTCATAGAATTCCTCACAAAGAACAATGTAATTTTGGAGCTTCTGAGGTCAAGCCTCACCATGCTACATGGGATGTGGTTCTTACAGGTAGGCTGACGCCTCTGGCTGGCTCGATTTTGTTTCTACCTGCTGCCAGCCTCTCCTTATTTGATGGGGTAGTTTCTTATGGAGTCCAGAGACTCTCCAATGGCATAGTGCCCATAATGAAACTGTTGGTCCTTAAGAGATCATGTCTTTAAGTGACCTGGGGTTCCCATAGGAACACTGGTAGAACACTTGAGCAGGAAGTAAAATGTGCCTGTAATCAGACATATGGTTATCCATCATATAGAAACTATAAGTTGATGATATTAGTTATCATCAGGTCTTGATAATAAGATAGCTTATACTCTAATCAGTAGTAAGCTCCAGAAATATATAGAAAGTAGGCAAGGGAGGAACCTGATATTTATTGAGAAACAAGTGTATATTTGCCACTGCATTGAAAAAACATTTCTTTTGAGTGTCTCACTAGGTATCTCAAATTGGCCTTGAACTCAGAATCCTAGAATTCAAGACCTCAGCATCCCTAGTGTTGTGATTATAGGTGTATTCCATGTCTATCTTTTATTGGATTTTTATAAACATTGTATTTTTTTGTTTATGAGAATGTAACAGTTAACTATTATCATCTCTAACTTATCAGTAGGAAGACACAAGAAGAAAAAGTTATTTTGCAAGGCTCATACTATCATGGAACTAGGCAATTCTTTGCTAGTTATTTTCATATAAACTTAGCTTAACAGGCAGGCATCAATATTAATGGAGACAATGCTACCACATACAAGATATTATGGTAATTCAGGCAGGAATCCTGGATGGGTACAGATGAAGAGGTGGCTATGCTCAACACATAGGTACACTCACCAAAACCAGCGTCTTCATCCTATTCCTTTGCCAAATCCATTAATATATGAGGCGCCTGGAAAACTGTGTAAATGCTGAAGATGAAAGCAGTGTCATGCATCTTTCTGTTTGAATTAAATTGGTACCAGACTGAGACTTTGGCTGTTCGACTAAGGGGAAAGTCAAGCAGCATCTTATCTTTACCTCAGATCTCCTACTAGCTCTAGGGCAGTGGTTGTCAACCTTCCTAATGCTGCCACTCTTTAATACAGTTCCTCATGTTGTGGTATAATTTTGCTACTGTCATGAATCATAATATAAATATCTAATAAACAAGATGGTCTTAGGTGACACTTGTGAAGTTAGTTTGACCTCAAAGGGGTCATGAACCACAGGTTGAGAATGACTGCTCTAGGGCTTACATTGTGTTTCACTAGCTACCAACCAACTCAAAAAACCTGAATGGGGACTGAAGTCTGGATTTGTTTGATCTCATCCTTCAGACTCTTTTCATTTGATGATGTCAACTCTCTAACCTAGATATCATGTCAAAAGCAGAATCCCAATCGATGATTACATATTTTATGATGTCTAATAAGTTGTACTTTGATATGTACTTAAAGATGTAAAGAATATCTGGGATAGAAGCATTATGTTGCTTAAATAGGGAGTTCTAGTGAATTCTAATAGCAAAAGGCAGGTATTTGGGTTGATGAGGCTATTTTAAGTATTTACATTTCACATGAGTTATAAGAAAGTATCACCAGCTGAGGGGAAGAGGGAGTATCATGGTCAACAGAGTAGGAGATATGTGTTTTAGGGGTAACAAGTAACATGTTTTCATGGGACTAACTTTCTTCTTAGCTGGGATTGTACAAACCACTGAGATGATTCATTCTGACCTGGTTGTTCAGCCCACTATCATTGCAAATTGATTAGCACGGAGAGGATGAATGCTAATGAACAATGTAAAGTAGAAGACAGAGTCAGGCACTCCAGAATACTTAGGAATGCTGCCTGGTTCATTCAGAAGTTTTTGGTCACTGTTAAAATTATGGAAGTTTCTGGTAGGAAGGATAATAAAACATCCTTATTGAAGTTATTTTTTGAGACTAAAGATTATTGCAAAGAGCTCATGCATAAATGAGAATAAACTGCCTACCACATGACATATATCACTTGATCATGTGTATGAGATAATAAAAGTTGTAGTTCTCATTCCCACCACAGAGAATCTGTACATGGTGATAACTACCTAAAGTAAAAGAAAAATATTCTTAGTTTCTACTGACTAACAAACTATTTGAAATTTAAGGAAGAAGTGAAATTAAGTATTTATTCAATATAGCCTGAGTGCATTTTTTTTCTGTAAAATTTCATTATTTGGAAAATAAGGACAATAAATTAAAGGTGATAATAAATTCTGATAAGACCACAGGGAGGAACTTATATATTGTGGGGATAAATAAGAATCTGGGAAACCATAGGCTGATGGATATTTATTCAGGGAGAAATCACTCACAACAGAAATAGATGACAGCAGCAGGTTCCTGTCCCAAGGATGCCTCCAGGACCTAGTCTCCCATGGTCACACCTGCACCTGTCCCCAATGGGCATGGTCAGTGCAACAGGTGAGGGCGGGGTGGATATCTCACTACAATTCGCCTTTTACTAAAGAAAAGATTTAGGCTTGATATAAAAGTATATACAAAGATAGTAAATATCAAGTATGCTGTAGGAAAAGGAAAATTAAGAAATGCAAACTTAAGACCTATTTCCAGTGAGGTTACAAGAGCAAATGGCAAGAACTACATATCCAGTCCTAGGTTGAAGGCATAACAGATTACTATAAAGCTGTCCTAAGCTGGAAAGCTTAAGTCTTATACCTAATATTTCTATCTAGGAAGAGAGAACAATAATTGTGACAGTCTAATCTTCAACTTCATTACAGACCTGAGAAGGATGACAACAATCCTAGGGTAGGTAAGCAGCTTCCAAAAGACAGCAGGCTACCTGGACAGTCACCTACAGTCTCACATCAACGTTAGGGCAACCAGTTTTGGCTAAGGCCTAGATTATCTGACAGACCACCACAGAAGCAGGGAGATAGAAAGGCTGTCTTACCCTGATTTGGCAGGGATCAGCAGTCTTCTATGTTTGTCTCCTGCAAGCTCAGAGAGACAGCATGTCCAAAGTCAGTGGTCAAGGTGGGGGCAATTCTTTGCCCAAGAGGCCATTAGCTGAGGAGAGGATGGACTTCAGAAGGAGTGACATCAGTGCCCAAGATATTTTTGGGAAATGCTTGGTGCTGTCAGGAGCAATAGTGTCTCATGTCAATGGAGTACTAATATTAAAACATTTAAATGCCATGTTAGGTAGGTCTATGAAATGTTTGAAGATCTAACATCTTTGTCTAACTAGTCTCTTAGGTATAAGAAACATGGATGAAGATAATTTGTAATACCAGGAACCTAGCTATACGAATGGTTGACACTTCCCTATGTAATTAGCAAGGACAATGTTTTTAGCAACATAACTACATACATACATACATATACATACACACACACACACGTAAATCTCTAAACAGAGGTAGAAATGAAATGCCTTGACCAGTGGTAGAACTGTACATTGTAACATGACAAAAATATCCTAAATTGTATCAATATACAAAATGTCTTGAACATATGTAAAACTATACATACATAAATATAATAAAGATATTGTGCACAGAAAGCTCTTACACAAAAATTAAAAACATGCAAACAATTTTATATAAGTTACAACATATAAAAATCTGTAACAATGTAAATTGTATAATTACTAAGACAATTCACAAGAAGATAAGTTAATCTACCCTTATCCCATCTAAACCATACCCTTCCCAACCATACCTTATACTTATCTAAAAGAGCATCACCTTCCATATACCCAGCCCTAAGTAACTAAAACCAACCCTATGTAGATGAATATTATCCCTTAACGTCAACATTGAGGGAAGGGGGTGTCTATACCTTAAGATTACTTCCTGCTGAAATGGGGCTATGATGACTCCATGGAATCTTGTAGGAAAAAAAATTAAGGCAACAAAATTTCTTGAGGGGACTAGCTGTAACATTTGTAGCTAGTTTCTGCATTGCAGGACATGCCTGACTGAAGTTCTATCCTAAACTCTGGCCAGGGTGTAATAAGAAGGTGCACTATTCCTGTTAGCTAGTCTGGAGTTGCCTCGAGCATTACAATCCCAAACCAGTTTTAGGATGATGTTTGTAGTCCAGATGCATCAGGTTGAATCAAGTGGAATCGATGAAGTGGGGCCCCATCTTCTTTCCAGAGAGTTCAATGATTGCTGTTAGGAATTGTTTTTGTTCCTTGTGGAAAACTTTATCATCAATATCAACATAAAAATTTCAACTTTCATAAGTATGCATATTAGGAAAGGCAACATTATGCATGAAAATAAGTATGAGGAAAACCAGGATTTTAGAGAAAACCGAATTTAGATACACGATAATCCCCAGATAATGTTTTTTTTTTTTTTTTTTTTTTTTTTTTTTTTGTCTTACACCAATTGGCTTCTTGATATAAAGCAGAAACTCTGGATTTAATTTTTACAACATGCTTGAATTTGGAGGAGGAAAGCCAAATCCAACTCCAAAGCCAGCATTGGTTTACATGAATTGGGACTAAAGGAGTATTAGGAAGTAAAGAGAAATAGATTTTTGTATAGGAATAATCTACTAGACTTAAATATTCGTCAGATTCCTCTTTGTTAGATGGTTCTTTCGGGAGAGCTATCTTCTCTTCTGTAGGTGCCTACATGTTCAGTGTCTTTTGGCTGTTTGAAGATGGTCCTTTCCTGTTTTCCTGTAAAGACAAGAACAGAACACTTCCCCTACTTTTGAGAGGTCTCTGCACAACTCATAGGAAACACTTTGGCGGATGACTTGTCATTTCTCCTCATTCAGCTGTTTCTCTTTTTCAGCTTGGATCTGATCAACTTAGATGGTACCCACAGAGTTTCTTTCTCTGTAGATACAAAGGTGAAACCCTTACCCCAACGTAGCACATATACTGGTTTCCATACTGAGGCCAATACATCCTTGAAGTACACTGGCTGGTTTAGTTCAAAAGGTTTTTCTATTGTCCCGTGTCTTTCTGCAGCTGTTTTTCCTTTCTCATTAGCATTAAGAAAGTGTAATGTTAATAAAGCGTTATGTAATCTGTGTTTGGGTGTCTTGGTTCCCCCTGCCTGTTTACAGAACATTTTTTGAAAAGTACGATTAGATCTCTCAACTATTGATTGTCCTGTAGGAATGTGCGATATACCAGTTACATGCTTTATGTTATAATATTCAAAAAACTGTTTCAATTTGCTGCAGACATATACCAGAACACTATCAGTTTTTCTTTGTGCAGATATGCCATTTCACAGTACTCCTCCCTATCCTCTGGCTCTTATCCTTCTGCCTCTTCTTCTGAGATGTTTTCTGAGCATTGGAGCTGGAACTAGTGAGGGGATTAATAAGGATGGCACATTTAGGTGTTAGCACTCTATTGAGATAGTTTAGAAAAACAACTAGGTAAATATTGTCTATGCCATCAAAATATGTAGAAAAATATGATGATTTAGGTGTTCTATCTCTGACACTGGCAGTCACCTAGTCATCAAGTACTTTGAACAAATGTTTTTGATAATGTGTCTGCTTATTTTATGTGTCACTCTTTTTTGAAACACAGGTTGCTTTTATCCTGTATCCCAAAAACAGAGACCATGCGTGGGACCTGTCTGATCATAGCAACGTCATGTTTCTCACCTCGTGCTTTAGTTTTTATTATGCATTGACCTATGTCATCATTGGAATTAATTATGCTCTTGTTACTTGGTAAGTTAATTACTTTCATTCATCAGATATGATCATCAGGATTCATCCGAATTAGTCTTAAAGTTCAAATCCTTTCCATGAACTAATTTCTTCTATTACTGACTCATAAGACAAAGTAGTATAGCACAGAATTGTCTGGAAACACATAAATTGCCAGAAAATCAGTAAATGATAATTCAAACTTGGAGTAGCTGTCTGTGATGTGCCTCTGAGTCATACATTATCATACATTCATACATTCATCTGAGTCATACATTATCCTGTAGCACGTTTATACATTATCCTATAGTACATTCACCTGAGCCTCCCTGGTGGGAGAGTTGAAAGCTCCCCAGAACAGTTCCCTCAGGTGGAAAAAGTCTTTGTCTTGGAAAGGGAGAAGAAACAGGAAGTCTTCCATCTTAAATGTTTAAGTGAAAAGTATGTCCATCCACTAAAGCCTCTTTTCCATGACTGTCTTCCTTAGAGGAATCTGTTTGGGACAGGCCCAAATATCATCAGAAGATAGATAAAGATGTAGATGGTTAGACAGATTTCTCATAAAGTGAGAACTATTTTGGTAATTTCACTTACCAATTTTGTTTGCATATATCTCATAATTTATGGAACTTACGTTCTACTTATGTGGCCACAGTATACAATGGCCTTTGGTAATCATGATAATCACATAAATACTTCTTACATCACAGAAGTAGAGAGATTTCTCAACTTTGGCACTAAGAAGTTTTAGATCTAGAGTTGGTTACTTCCTCCAAGCCTCCATCTGAGTTTGTATTAAAACAGGTGTACTTTGTGTACTTTAAAAACAATTTATTCTGTGAGAATTTTACACGTGTATATAATGCATCTGGTCATAGCCACCCCCCATTTTCCCACCTCTAATTCTTCCAAAACCTCTCCAGACACATCACTCTCCCAACGTCATGTCTTCTTTTTCTTCCTTCTCCTCTTCCTCCTCCTTTTTTAAACCACCCACTAAGTCTAATTATTTGTTAATGTGCCAATGGATTCTAGGGCTGGCCATCTACTGGAAAGGAGCTTACTACCTTTCTGAACTTCTTTATAGTGTGTATGGGTGTCACATTTTTTTGAAATTACAAGGAAGACAAGACTTGGTGTGGGGTCTAAGTTAATTTGGGATAACAGCTACATGGAAGGCAATGGGTCCCTGTACATTCTTTCTAGAAAAAGCCATCTTCTTGTAATGTACAAGTTGTTGTGGTCTTAATGTGGAAATGCCCCTGATGTCAGATTCATCTGGATCTGCCACAGGTTATGTAGATTCTCTTATTTGTTTAGGAATAATCGAAGCTATGTTCTGATGTGATAAATTTGAAAGCCCATATTTTATCTGCTCACTTATACCTTACTTTAATCAACATAACTTACCAACAGCTCAAAGCTAAACAGAAGTTATTTTCCTCTTAGTGTTGTGTCCTCAGTTATACAAACAACCAGGCGTTTGTTTTACTGTAGATTTACATTGCCTCAAGGTTTAATTTCACCTAACCAGAGATAGTTTCCTTTTTACGCAGGTTGGTTAACTGGAGACTTAGCAAGCTCTGCATCTCAGAAACTCAACTTCTGAAAAATCCTGAACAGCAAGAAGAATCAGAAAATGAAATGTGATTTTTGTTTGGCTGGTGTCAAGTGTCTCTAAACAGGCCTTTTTATTTTTTGCACTGTCTTTGCTCATGGCCTCATCTGTAGATGGTATGGAGAGAAGCTGTGACCACAAAACCTGTAATCTTGCAAGATCAGAGCCAAATTATCATGAGCCATCTTCAGCCAATTTTATAGCAGTTCATTCCCCGACTCTGTATGTGACCTAACATCTTTGTGAGTATAAGTAAATCCTTTGGAATGTACAAACAAGGTCTTAATTTCTGCCCAGCAGAAATCTATGAATACAGTCAAGAGAGCATTAGAGGCCTATAGTTGAGGTTTTCCCTACCTGATGTTTCCACCAAACATATTTGAAAAGTGTTTTGAATATGGCTTTCTTTGTTCTGTTACTACAAAAGGTTATGAAATGATTACCACGTTGGAACGTGGGATTTGAGGTAACTCACATCTTTGTTCATGGGCCATGGTCATTCATATCTGACTCTAGGAGAAACTGTCTTTTATCCCTTTGGAGATGACAATAACAACCCAGGAACAGATAGAAACAGATGCACACCCCAGGCAAATATTAGGCTGCGCATGGAGAAACCTGTCAAAGAGGATTGTAGGAGCCAGAGAGGTCAAGGACACCACAAGAAAACCCACAGAACCAACTAACCTGGGCTCACAGGGGCTCACAGAGACTGGACTGACAACCAGGGAGCCTGTATGGGACTGACCGAGGCCTTCTGCATATATGTTACAGTTGTGTAATTGATCTTCCTGTGGGACACCTAACAATTTGAGCAGGGGCTGTCTCTGACTCTGTTGTCTGCTTTTTGGACCCATTGCTCCTACTGGATTATTTCACCCAGCCTTAATAGAAGAGGAGGGGCCTACATCCATGGGCGGACAGCCTGCATCTGAAAGGAACAGTGGAGGAGGTAGGGGTGGGGGAAGAACTGGAAAGAAGGGACAGATGGGATACCTTGGCTGGGATGTAAAAACAAACAAATAAAACATAAACCAACAAACAAAAAAAGAAATAGAATCTCAATGTAGTTTTGATTTACATTTCCCTTTATGTACTCATTTTAAGAACTGTGTTCAGTTAATTTGTTCATTTATTGATTGGCTTATTTTGCTTTTCTGGTAATTGATTTTTTTTGTATACTTATTCTGGATACTGATCCTCTGACAGACATGATGGGCAAAGATTTTCTCTCAATCATCAGGCTGTGTCATCATTCTGTTGTTTCCTTTGCTGTGCAGAAACTTCTTAATTGTATGCAGTAATGTTTCTCAGTTCTCGCTATTATTTCCTAAGCAGTCAGGCACCTTTTTTTAAAATATATTCTTTTTTTTCCCTAAGTGGCAAGAGAGCCCAGTTCTCCTGCTTCTTTTCTCCTGTTTTCTTCTTTTCAAAAACATAATTTATTATTATTTTTTTCTTATTTTACATATTGATCCCAGTTCCCTCTCCCATCCTCCCATGACCCAGACCCCCCCCTCCCATTCAATTCCCACCCACTCCACTGGGAAGGTGGTGCCTTCCAGGAGGGATCATCAAAATCTGTCAAGTTATTTGGAATAGGGTCTAGGCCCTCCCTCCTGTCTTTAGGTTAAGGGAGTATCCCTCCATGGGGAATGTGCTCCCAAAGTCCTTTTGTGCACCAGGGATACATCCTGGTTCCACTGTCAGAGGTTCCTTAGACTGCCCAGGCCTTCTGAGACCCATGTTCAGGGGATCTAAGTCAGTCCAGTGCTGGTTTTCTGAGAAAAGGTCTCATGTTTCCCAGCCTCGCCTTGAACTCCTTTACATAACTGAGGCTGACTCTGAATTTCCAGCCCTAGCTATCAGTCTAGGGGTCCACGAGCTCCCCCTTGTTCAGGTAAGCCGTTTTTGTGGGTTTCTGTAGTATGGTCTTGACCCCTTTTCTTATCACTTCTCCTTCTCTGCAACTGGATTCCAGAAGTTCGGCTCAGTGTTTAGCTGTGGGTGTCTGCTTCTGTTTCTATCATCTACTAGATGAGGATTCTATGATGGCAGAGAAGTTAGTTATCAATTTCATTATCAGAGAAGGGCATTTAAGGTAGCCTTTCCACTGTTGCTCAGATTGTCAGTTGGGTTCATCCTTGTAGGTCTCTGGACATTTTTTTTTTGGAGTCAGTTTTCTCTTCAAACCTATAATGGCTCCCTCTATTATGGCATCTCTTTTCTTGCTCTAAGACTAGAGCAACTCCTTCCTTCCACAACTCAATCTTCCTGGTCCCACATGTTCTCCTCTCCTTCCCTTCTCTTTCTCCCAACTCCCTCTCCACTCACTGACTCCCCCCCCCCCAATATGCTCAGGAGATCTTGTCCCTTTCCCCTTCTGTGAGGGACCTTGTATGAATCTCTTAGGTTCCTCCTTGTATCTTAGCTTCTCTGGCGGTGTGGATTGTAGGCTGGTGATCCTTTGCTCTATGTCTAAAATCCATATATGAGCAAGTGCATACCATGTTTCTCTTTTTGTGACTGGGTTACCTCATTCAGGATGGCTTCTTCTAGTTCCATCCATTTGTCAGGCACTCCCCCACCCCCATAATCTGCAACAAGGTTCTAAACCACACCTGTGCTGTGTGACTTAGCTTCTCTCCTCTGCTGAGTTGCCAATTTCATCTCATCTAAGTTGTATCCTGACAGTGCTAGAACAGAAACCAGCCATAGTATTTGAATAAGGGCTGCCTTTAAAAACACAAAAGCAAAACATCTCTCAGATTGCAGCACAACAGCTTTTTACATCCATGTTTCTACCAATGTTTGGCTCATGGTTACTTTTATATTCTTTATGGTGGATGCTTTGTCTCTACTTCTCTTTTCCTCTGAGTCCACCAGGATTGTTTTTAAGGTTCATGAGTGTAACAGCAGCCCATTCAACAGCAGGTAATTTTTTTTTTATATTTTAGGAAACCTGATCCAGAGTACATGCATAGAGTAAAAGGAACACGTGGCAAAGCTACCGGAGTCATAAAAGCTATGAATTAAACAAAAATTTAGCTCCTTTTCTAAGAAAGGAAAGAAACCCTTTTAGGACAATCATACCAAACCAACTTTCCCTCTCTTCTTCCCTTCTTTCTCCCTCTCTCCCTCTTCCCTCCCTCCCTCCTCCCCTTCTTCCCTCCCTCCCTTCTCTCCTTTTTTTTTCCTGTCACATCTGTTGTGGTATGAATGAGAATGTCCTCATAGGCTGGTATATTTGAATGCTTGGTTCCCAGTTGCTGCACTGTTTAGGTTGAGAGGTGTGGCCTTGGAGGAAGTGTATCACTGGGAGCTTTGAGGTTCCAAAAGCCCCTGCCAAGCCCCGTCTTTTGCTCTCTCTGCCTCCATCTTTTGAATAAGATGTAAGCTTTCAGCTACTGCTCTAGTGCCCTACTTGCCTGTCTCCTACATTCTCCAAAATGATGGTCATGGACTATCTCTCTTAAACTTTAAGGAAGTCTTCAATTAAATGTTTCTTTCTCTTTTCTTTTCTTTTCTTTCTTTGTTTTTTCCCCCTCAAGATGGGATTCTCTGTGTAGCTTTGTAGACCAGGATGGCCTCGAAGTCACAGAAATGTGCCTGCCTCTGCCTCCCGAGTACTGGGATTAAAGTCATGCGGCACCACCGGCCAGTAGTGACCTTGGTCATGGTGTTTCATCACAGCAATGGAACAGTAATTAAGACACCATCCATGCATTCCAGAAAGTACAGCAACTTCCAAGGCCTCTATTGCTCAGCTGCCAGCTTTCTTCTCTAGCCCTTCAGAAGGAGGTGGGTGCTTGGACCTCTAGAACAGACAGACTAGGCAACAGAGCCAAAGATGGCAGTAGGATGCTCTGTGCCAAGCAAACAAGGCCAGGCTCCTCATTGCCCATGTGAAAAATGAAACTTAGATTTTTACAGCATTGATGACTTTCAAATATCTAACCTTTTGTCTAGGATAGAGGCACTCATCAATCCCATCCAGAGTATTAAAATGTGATAATGTTTTCTTACTGATGACACCCTCAATATAGTATTTCCTTGTAAGCAAGGTGAAGAGAAAGGCATTGCTGTTGCTATTTGGAGACAAAAACATTTGCAGAAGGTAGTGGTAGCTTCTAAAATGTGGCGTATTAGAGAGGTGCAGACTATTCAGACATACACATAGCTGCCTAAAACAAGGACCATAGGAGCCCCAACTTCACATGTAGTGAAAGGAACCTGCAACTTCAATAAGGCAATCTGCTTGGCTTTACCAAGGCTCCTCCCATCCCCCCCCCCAGCACCACACAGAAGGATTCTACATTCATCCTTCCCTTCATGATCATATAGGAGAGAGGGTGATGGGTTCAGGCTGCATCCAGGGCAAAGTGTGTTACAGCTCTGAAGGGAATGGTATCTTGGCAGTATAAAGTCACATTACGCAACAAACCTTAAACAAGAATTGTATTGGGAAAGACACAAGAGGGTGGCTGCCTCTGCTTGGGAAGAAGCATCAAAGAGTAGGAGGCAGGCTTTATTATATAGGGTCTTTTGAGGGTGGGGGTCCTTTCCATGCTGGATTGGGATTGGTTGGATTTGTGGCCCGATCTCAGGGATTAGTACTATTCTGTGGCATGTTCTTGGGGCAAGCTCAGGGATTGGTGGGATTCATTGGCCTGATATTGGGCTTTTTTCTATAGAGTGGAGATTGGCCACCTGTGTCTCAAGGGGCTGGAAATGGCCATTAAGGTCATTAGAGTAGTCTGGGGCAGAGACTGGCCTCTTGCACTTCAAGAAGCTTAAATAAACTGCTTGGATCACTGAACCAATATCAAAATCAATTAAAAAGTAGGTGTGAATTAGTTTGCAGACACTTGAAATGTCTGACTAGAATGACCTAATGCTGCAAGATGGAGTGCTCACAGATAATTGTCCTCAGTTTCAGAAAATGGAGAGTTGGGGGATTAGGCTTTGGCCAAAGCTACTCCTGAGGAGAAAATTCAGGATTTCTCTGATACACTTTTCCAGGTCTACCTTTGGTAATAGTACTATACCATCATCACCATTCAGGAAGAGGAAACAACTGGTTGGTATGAGATGCAAATTTGTTAGTGAATGGTCCTCATCAAGAGTAATAATGGTGAGCTTGCATCTTAAAGCAAGGTGGAATTTTCTTATGGCCCCTTTGTAACACAAGATTGTGGTTTTGAGCATATTTTATGTTGTCATCTCTGGTGTTTGAACTGATCACGTGCCAGATCATGACAAAAC